GGCTGGCGTGCTCCGCCGGAACCGGGGCCGGCGCCCCAGGGCCCGAGACGGGCAGGAGCCGTCAGGGCCGGAGCTGCTCGCCCAGGGCCGATGCCCTGGGGCCCAAACGGAGGTGGAACCGCCGGGGCCAGGGCGGGCCGGGGCTGGCGTGCTCCGCCGGAGCTGGGGCCGGCGCCCCAGGGCCCGAGCCGAGCCAGGCCAGAGCCGCCGGGGCCGGAGCCGCTCGGCTGGGGCCAGAGCCGAGCTGGAACCGCTGGGGCAGGCTGGGGCTGGCGTGCTCGGCTGGAACTGGGGCTGGCGCCCCAGGGCCCGAGCCAAGCCGGGCCCGAGCCGCTCGGCCAGGAGGCCGGACTGGGCCGCACCTCCTCGCGCCCCCCCGCCCCAGCTTACCTGCTGCCTGCCTCCGTTTCAGGCTTCCCACGAACATTTGATTCGCAGAAAGCAGGGGAGGGGGAGGAGCAGGGGGCGGAACGTTCAGTGAAGTGGGCGGAGTTGGGGCGGGGCCTTTGGGAAAGGGGCGGAGTTGGGATGGGACCGGGGCAGAGAAGTGGGTGGAGTTGGGGTGGGGGCGGGGCCCCTTGGAGTGTCCTCTTTTTGTTATTTTAAAAAATGGTAACCCTAGCTCCCGCCACCGTGTGACCTGAGCCCGGGAATAGAGCTGTGGGTAGGCGCCTGCTGCCATGCAGCTGGGTCAGGGAATCATCACCAGGGGCTAGGGCTGTGTGACTGGAGCACAGAGCCAGTGCCCGTCACCACATGGCCGGAACTTGGGTCCAGAGGCCAACTGAAGCTCTGCGGCTAGAGCCGGGGGTCAGCACCTGCTACCCTGCGGCCAGAGCCAGAGGTTGGCATACAAAGCCCCGCAGTTGGAGCCTGCTGCCGTGGGGCTGGGAGTCGGCGCCTGCTGCCATGCAGCTGGAACCAGGGGCCGGAAGCTGATGCCCCACAGCTGGAGGCCAGGGCTACATGGCCAGAGCCCGAGGTATCAGTATCCACTGCCCCGAGGTTGGAGCCTGGGGCCGCATGGCCAGGTTCCTGAAGTCCCGCCGCTGCAGCCTGCTGCCCAAACCCCCTTCCTCCAATGTGGGTCAAGAACTCACCTTGCTCTTGCAGCGTTGTGCCCCACCTCTCTCCAGAGGCACTGCAGGGAGGCGCATTGAGGAGCAACAAGGAGGGAAGGCGGGGGAGGATGCTTTGCCCCTCATCCATCACCGCCCAGGAGCTGTCGTGGCCGCATGAAAAGTCCCTGGTGGCCGCATTTGAGAAACACTGAGCTAGGCACAGCCTTACAGTTGTCTAGAGGGAACTATTTCCGCCCCCTCCCCCCCCCAGCTGCTAGTGACATAGCCAATCCCAACACCTCTCACGTACATAAAGTAATACTGTCCTCTCTCTTCAAGTTAGTTATTTAGGCGCTCTGTCTTGCCCTTTCCCCTCCTATTAAAAGAATAATTGTGCTCAACTACTCTGCTCCCTTTCTCATTCAAAAAAAGTATCTTGTGGCTAACTGCAAAATTTCTACTGCCATTGTTCTGCCTTCTGTGGGGTGGAGGCACTGTGCCACTGCAGACTACAGTGCCTGAAGAGGAGAACTTTAATGGCGTTTTTATGATAAACGGATTAAAAAAACTTTAGGCAGTGATGTGGAAAACAATCCTATCAAGTTTGAGTTTGTTTTTCTAGTCTAAAGAAAAGATTGGGTGCAGGAAAAACAGTATGATTTGATCTTTAATGGCAATGAAAAAAATCCTGAACCAAATCCCTCACAAGATCATAATTTTTCTGAACTTTCAGACTCTCTGATAGGAGTCATCACTAAAGCATTAGTTATTTTTTGAAGGAGAAAATATGTGCTGGCATTTTTATTCTCCTAAACCTGGGATGTGGCACAGTCCTGGAGTTCATTAAGAAACAGGCTCCAGATGTAGTGACCACTGATTCAAATCCCAACAGTAGTGGAGAATTGAACTCGTCTGATTTTAATGTTAGACCGGAACTTTTGGTCTGAAGCTTTTCTATTATGTTCCCAGTCTAGAGTATAATTATGCCTCAATGTGTATGCACTATGAGAATTTTCCAATTTGAACTTTCAGGAGCGTAGTGTTCCCTGTCTTTCTCACTAGGCCCTTCATCTGCGCAACTTCTTGATGTTGGACATCAGCCTTTGTGGTTGCTGTCCGTCTTTGAGGTTGTTTGTTATTGTCCACTCCAGAAATCCCCAGAACAATGGACAATTCAAAATCAAAATAATTTGTAAACTTTGGGCTGGAATTGGTTACCCTTCACAGTACTGAAGAGCTGATATGCAATTCTATTCTATATTTCTGCTAATAGAAGACTTAATGATATTCGACTGTGTAATCGTCAAGGCTTCATACTGATAAATATGAGGGGACCATGTAGCATTTATCCTATGTAAAATTTTAGTGTGGGTGTAATAACTAGCTGCTTTGTGTTTGTCTGAAAATTACATATGAACCTGAACCAATTGCAGATTCTTGCATCTCTGTTCTCTTAGGAATTTTGGATATGTATGAATATTTTACAGCTTGTGTCCATTTTACTGAAAACACAAAATTGTGCAGAATTGGAAATTGAACAAGGATAGCCTGGAAGTATCAGTCTTGTGTTGAATTTCTGAATTTGTTCATATTACTTTTATTTGTATGGCACCTCTCACTCAGAAGGGACCACAATATGCTTCGCAAACTATAGATGGATAGATACTGAAATATGACAAATTACTTTAGCCACTGCTAAACTAGCCATTCAGGGATGAAATGCACTTATCAGTTGGTAAATTTTAGCTTCATGTCAAGGAGAAGGAGAAATGTATCCTTTCGGTTGAGATGGAATTTCCATTTTTCATTAATGCAAAGTTAACACTGGACGCGGTCTTATGGCCTTGACGTTGAAGAGGGGTGTGGGCTCTGGGGTGGCAGCGGCACACAGCGGGGCTAAGACAGGCTCCCTGCCTGCCCTGGCCCTGCGCCGCACCTCCTGGAAGCGGCTGGCACACTGCCCTCGCCTGCGGGTACCTCCCCCAAAGCTCCTATTGGCCATTGTTCCCCATTCTTGGCCAATGGGGCCGCAGGGACGTGGTGCTGGCTGCTTCTGGGAGCGGTGCATGGCAATCCCACGGGCCGGATCCAAAGCCCTGACGGGCTGGATCCAGCCCATGGGCTGTAGTTTGCGCGCCCCTGTTGTAGATAGCGGTTAGCTGTTTTATTCTTTACTGCTTCCCTGAGTAGCAGGACACAAAACAGCTGTACTAATAAAAATAATGTAGCATTTATTAGCCCTCAGCTGACCTTAAATTTTATTTCTGAGGTAGTTTTGACATGAAAGAGTAGTGAAATATTAAAACTGGTTGTTTTGATATAGTACAACGTAAAACTATTTTTAAATCAGTAGACTTTAATTTGCATCTGTTGCCATCAAAGTCAGTGGACAGCATACGTTAGTAAGAAATGTGACGCATGAATTTATTTCACTTTCTGTGGAAGACCTTTTGTAACTGATTCACTGTAAGTGAAGCAATAGGTAGCTTGCAGGTGCTTCTAAAGAAGTGAAAATTTTTTGTCATATCATGCTACTCACTACAGTAATGTATTCTGGACATACTGCTTGTCAGTTGATTTTGTTCCTGTTTTCAGTGTCTTTATGGCTCTTTATAAAGTTGGTGAAAAAGATGAAATGTTCAGTGTTTGGGATGTGTTGATTGATCTTTGTAGTTTGGATTTTTGTTGATTTGTTGTTGACTT